CATTTTTCTGGTGGTGAAAAAGTCGATAAAACGGGGAGGCGTACAGCCAAGTAGATTTCATAGTTCATCTGTGTCATTGCACATCGCGCGCGCTCCTCCTGGAAGATCGCCTACCCTGCATAAGCTTATCCGAGACTTTTCCGCTGTATTTTCTGCTTTTTTGGCTATATAAAATCATTAAACAAATCTTCGAACTATTACCCTGGTCCTAACTTGTGGCTATTTTCTTTGACCTAGAAAAATGAAAAATACTTTGACGTAGATGTTCATATTATGATTCTATTACAAATATTCTCCAAAACGGAGAAAGTAAAGACGTCTGCCAATATGGAACTTTAGAAAAGCCAAGATGGAAAATGCAATAAAATGAGCGTGATCTTCATCGATGTGTGCGTGCTATGTGCATTTACACAGATGAGGGCAAAGTCTATTCGGCTTTAGACCGCTTTGCTTCGGATTGATTCTTCTGAACGGTAGTGTGAATTTTTTTTTCAAAATTTCCCTATCGCCTGACAAAGCCAAAGCTCCACCGCCGCAGAAGTGGCGCGGTTTTCTCGCGACGCGCTACGCAACGGGATAGCCGCGCCAGATCATACTCCAGTTAGAGGGCCACTCTGAATAGAAACAGTTTCCAGCTCTTCAGAAGAGTGATTTTACAGTGCTAGGCCTTTCCACCTCGAGCTCAGTGCTAGTTGGGTACAAAAGAAGATATAAAAAGAGACGTACGCGGTGCAGGCGCATAGTGCTAGGACATGACACGTGGTGGACAAGCACGCGTATCGTCGCGCATGATTCTCGTTAACATAGGGCGCGTTGCGGCGCGATGGGCGCTTTCCCTACTTTCAAAAACGAACTGTTAGTTAGGGCGAAGTTGATTACAAGGTAAGGAGTGTTTAAAACAGCGATGATCAAACAGTAACGTTCCAGAGGTTCACGAACAACCAGACGTAAAAATTTTGTGAAAAGTAAAGTTTAAGATAACGAGTAGGAGGGACGACTAACACCCTTATATAGACTGTGGTGCTTACATTTTCATAGAATACTTAGATAATTGAGCAGGATCATCGCCG